ACAATGACATGGCCTTTCAGCAAGATAGTCAGCGGAAGAAGTGGTACAGATAAGACTAATTTACTAGCAAATTTGTTTTTAGGGGATAAGAGTGAGCATATATACAAAGGATGGAAAGGAGGAATGAGATATATTAATGTGATGATTTGATAATATGTGGTTACCATTCTGACAAACCAAAATGGGCATTTGTAAGATATATGTATGGCATAATTTCAAAAGATCCAAGAGCGCCATATTATGAGAATATTTGGTTTAGCTATATTCCTCCTGAAAAGATTCCAAACGTGAAATCATTCTCACCAGAAAGGAGCACTGTTATTATTTTTGAGGATTTGTATGTTGCCCCAGAGTATATACAAAATCAAATTATACCTTTCTTTACTCACAGGCATCACAGAAACATTTTACCTATTTATGTAACACAACATTATCATAAAGTTTTCATTATTATTTAAGAAAATGTCTCCCATTTAGTAATATTTAATGGTGGTAGTAGCGCTCATGATATCTCCAAAATTGTTGAACGATATACTGATAATATAAAGGGTGCATCTATGGTTATTAATAGCTACTTTCGTCAAGGTGAGTTTGTTGTATTTGAACTCAGTAGACTGGAGGATGATCCTCTTGCCATTCGACTAAGGTTTGACACACCATTGAACCTACAAAAAGAGATAGAGGCAAGGCAGAAGCACAAGGAAAAAAGTATCCAAGCCAATTCATAATTTCAATATCAACTCCACCATTTTCCTAATGCTATTCTTGAGATCACAATTGAGTAATGTAATTTATATATTAATATTTACTTGCAATATATGCAAGAAAGAAATAAAAATCTATAAAGTGTATAATAATAATTACTTACATTTTTTTTTGTTTTCGGCTACAAATTTGAATCGTGATATTTCTTAATAAAGAATCACTAAAAATGCTATAAATTGCTAAAAAACACTATAAATCACTAGAGTTGGCTATAAACTATAAAGAGTAAAAAAATGGTTAAAACTAACTTCTATTCTAGTTTAAATCTTGGAGTAGTGCAAGCGTTAAACAATCTGCAATATAGTTATAGCGATAAAACACCAGAAATGTGGTGTTCTCGTATTTGTTGTCTATTTAAAAAACTTCTCGAACATAACTCAAAATACTTCTCCAAGAATGGATTTATTCAAAAGATTAAAAGAGCATATGAAGAGCGTTTAGTTTATATTTATTGCACTGTATGTGACTTCTTAGTAATTATTCGCAAAAATACAATTAAATGTGCAAATGATCACCTAAAGAAATGTATTACTGAAACCACTAATATGCATTCTAATCCTGTACAAAAGAATATGAAAAAAGAGGGGGGAGCATCATCACTTAGCATTGATATTGTTAATAAGATATATGAGAGATATTATTTTATGTACAGTAAAGGCTTGAGCTATTATGATTATAAACATTCAAATAAAAATGAACTTATAAAAAGGATTGTAGTTTGCATAATTAAAAGTGTAACGGTTCTTCAATGGGCTTGGAGGACTTACAAGTTAAGACTCAAGACATGGGCAAGTTGAGTTTGAAATATAGTGAGAAATGATAATACTCCTGACAAGAAGAAGTTTTTAGGTATAACTCCTCGTCATATAAGAATTCCTAATAATCGATATATAGATTATTTTGGCCAAAAAATTCAAGCTAAAGATGTACATGCATATTATCAGAATTCTCCTATCTTATTTAATCATTATCTTCCTAACATCTGGGCAGAAAAGAAAAAAGAACAGCTAAATAATCGATTATCTCTTGTATCATATATAGTTGCTTTTATAGTATTATATCGGCAGGGCTATAGAATCATTGAATATTCAGGATGGACTTATATATTAAAATGGCTATCGAATCCCGAATATTACCATATTGTTGAGCACGGCAAAGTAAACATCATTAAAACTTCAGAATATGCGTGATATTTGTGTAAATTGTATAGCAAACCATATCCATGTAATTCTCTAAAAATTGACTATTTCATTTCTGGAAACT